ATGTCACGAGCACGCACAATTTTTAGGCTGTTGGGTACCTAGTAACTTTTTTTTTTATTATTCTGCAGGGCCTCTGCTTTCAAATGTCTTTGTTTTGGGGGTTTAAGTTTTCTAGCCAGAAATGCAGATTTTTAACGTGTGCAAATATAAAAAAAAACATTTCTCCGGGTGCAAAGAGGTTAAATAAAACATCAATGATATCAAATATCAGCAGCAAAGTGTTAGCATGATCATTTAGGCCTCATTCCCTCGAGAAGCGGGCGGCCCATACAGCTTCATGCTGAGTGCACGGCCCCCCGGGAAGGACAGGTGCTGTGTGTGATTAGTACGCAGCCCCTGTCCTTCTCTATGGGACTACGTGGCCGTACGGCGCCCTACGCTCAACCCAGGTGCAGGTCCGTACGGGTGCGGATGTCCATGCTCGGACGCAGACAGGATCCATCCTGTCAGCGTATTAGTACGGACACCCGCACTTGGGGTGAGCGTAGGGCAGCGTATGGCTGCGTACTCCCATAGAGAAGGACGGGGGCTGCGTACTAATCACACGCAGCACCTGTCCTTCCCATGAGCTGCCCGATACGGCCGTGCATGCAGCATGGAGCTGTACAGGCTGCTCGTTTCTCGTGTGAATGAGGCCTAAATGCTTTTACCACTCTGCAGAATGCCAGTATACAGGATCATAGTAGGCTCTCGTGCTCTGTGTGCCTCCTGGAGGGGCTTGCTGGCCGATCTTAGGAAACATGCCGCCTATTTGGATCTAGTCCTGAAAAACTGAGACACAGTGAATTTTTGCATCTCCAACCTCATCTCAAAGTATCACCAATACAAGGGATGCACCGATACTAGTATTGGTATCAGTGCCGTTGCCGAGTACTCGCCCTCGCCCAAATGCTCCGATACCGGAACTTCCAGACAGAGGAGGATCTCCTCTGACCAGCAGTGCCACGAGGGAACCTGGAGCAGGCTTCCTAGCCAATCGGGAAGCCTGGGTGGCCTGTAATGACTCGCCACCTGGCTTCCTGATTGGCCCGGGAGGCTGGCTCCATGCTGTTTGGTCAACTCGATGTTGAATGGCTGGGAAGCCAGCTTCCCAGCCAATCGGCATGGAGCCAGCCAAATACGGATTGACCGGGAAGCCGGCTTCCTGATTGGCCGGTACTCGATATCAGAGAGTACCGAATTATAAATATCGGTACTTGTACTCGATACTGAAAAAACGGTATCGGTGCATCCCTAACCATAACCATCCTCTCTGCCCCTCCCAGGACCTCCTGCTCTCTAGCTCCCTCCTCAACTCCTCCCATGCTCACCTCCAGGACGTCTCTAGAGTATCTCCCATCCTTTGGAACTCCTTACCCCAGCCTGTCCAGCTGTCTTCTACTCTGTGTGCCTTTAGGCGATCCCTAAAAAGATGAGCCTATCCTGCCAGAGATGGAAGAAGCAGCACTCTGAGCTAATAGGACATTGCATTAGTGCACATGTGCTGACCGTGAAAGACGCTGATAGGAGAGAGCAGAGTGATGAGCGCGTCAGTGTGCTGCTGTTGCAATAGAGGTCAAGCACCTGGTTGTGCTGTCCCGCAGAGGTCACAAAACTGGCTACACTGAATTATAAGCCAAGAATATGGAAATGCAAGTTGGCCGGCTGTTACGCAATGAACATTTTCAGAGGTGAGAGATGAAACGGGTTTCCTGCGTCATTGATAACTATCTGGCGTATAGGCCGAGCTGACAAATCCCCATCTGATCAGCCTTAAGGCTTATCATGCCTCCTGATCATCAGGATCTCCATCAGCAGACACCGAGAGCTCCAGCGTGACCCGCGCCGTATCGAATAAACTGCCGCCAGCCCGTTCGCCTTCAGAAATCCGCGTCTTGCCAAGAACAATGGCCTATTATTTCTCATAGCCGGAGACTTGTGATGCAACTCTGAAATGATGGAGTCGGCTTTATCTTTATCTTGCAGGATTTGTATTTTTCGGTCTCACAGCCGGTGTAAGCGGAGCAGGATGTAATTGAAGTTTGCTGCAGCCGAGGGAGCCGGTGATGTAATCGGCAGATCGCGGCGTCTGAAATGTCAGCAGGCAGGAAAGCTATCTGGCCTGGAACGTCTTTCTGTAGCGCCCGGGATGAAAGTGCTCAGATACCAGCAGGAGACGTCAGAGGCCCGGTGTAAGATTTCACTCCTTCCTGGCAACTTTGTATCCGAGGGCGACGGCCGGATCGCAACTGCATCATGGAGTCCACAATCAGACGCAACAGGCTCAATTCACAAAGCTAAAACCCCCCAGATAATGACAGTTGTTTCTAAAAAAGTGACGGTTATTTTTTAGCCGTATCCAATAAGATTTGAAAGTTACAGTCACATGACTGAAAATAAAGATACAAATACTTGTGTGAGGCTTTGTGAATGGAGCCTTGTGTATTTCTACTCTAAATTCCACAAGTTCCATCCCAGCAATGGAATGTTCCTCGGCATCCTCGCATTCTTTACACGGTGTACCTTAGAGGACACAGGACCTTAGATTGCTGGAGCGAGGCTCCAGGCAGAGGCATCCCGCGGCGAGTTGACACCCGGTGCGGGTACCGGGTGACACCCCGCAGTGACGTCATCGCGTACGTGTACCGCTGTTACTTGCCGGCGGCCATCTTGGTGATGGACGCCGGCAGAAAGAGGAGCGGATGTTCACCCGGCGTGATAAGGTATGCCGCCGTGTCCCCTCCTCTCTGGAGCAACTGTCGGGCTCTCAGTCCATGACCGAGTGCCCAACTTTTCAGAGGGGGTGACACCAAAATGACTGCCACCCCTCCAGTGGTGTCACCCGGGTGCAGGCCGCACCCCCCTTGTCACGCCACTGGCTCCAGGGACCGGTCTAACATCCAGACACCTGCGAGGTTAAGGTGAGTATAACTTTATTTTTACACCCTAGATGAAAACTAGCACTTAACCCTTGCAGTGCCGGGGTAACCGTACTGCAAGGGTAAATAATAAAAAAAAGTGACATTTGTGTGGTGCGTTAATGAGCTATGTCGCGTGATAACATGCGTTGCATAAAGGCAGCACATTGAGAGTAATGAGCTGCCCATGCACCAGAGCGTCCTGAATATTGGACATACCAAATTTTTTTTTCTGCAACATAGTGCTTTGCCTCGGTGCGTGCCTGTTCTGGCCAAAATGAATGGCCACGCAATGTGTTAACGTATATGTGCGTTGCAGGAACACGTGCGTTCCTGCAACGCATAGATGTAAATCAAACATAAAATGTTACAGTCTATTCATCTCTATTGCGAGGAGTTCTAGCGTGCCGCAATGCACCGTGCAAACATGCAACATCCTGAATTTTTCATTGCACACCAACGCAGCGTATCGGCATGAACTAAAGCAAGAGGGCTTCATTCATCTTGCCTTCTATATGTGTTGGCACTGCGCTTGGCACGCTTGTGTGAACAAGTCCCGGGGCCATTGGGGAAGCCAGACAATCTGTCACCAGGGGCAAAGGCTCCCCCCAAGGGAGAAGTACTCCATCCACACACCCAGTGGCACCCCTCCTAAAGCGGCACATGCAGGGGCGTCCCGAGGCCAGGTGTCACTCGGAGCGGAGACCGGGTGACACCCCGCCGTGTGATCATCGTGCATGCGTGCCATCTAATTGACGCCTGCCAACGGCCATCTTGGTGATGGACGACGGCAGAGAGAGGAGGGGACGTTCATCCGGCGGGATGAGGTATGCCACCGGTCCCCTCTTCTCTCCTTAAACTGTCAGGCTCTCGGTCTATGACCAAGTGCCCGACTTTTTAGAAGGGGCGACACCAAAATGACTGCCAGTCATCACATCCAATGGTGTCACCCGGGTGCGGTCTGCACCCCTCTTGTGACACCACTGGGCACATGCCCCCCCCTAAACTTTGGCCCTGCCTGAGGCTCTCTAATTTAGCCATGTGACTGTAATCAGGGGCGTCCCGAGGCTGGGTGACACCCGGAGCGGTAACCGAGTGTCTCCCCGCCGAGACGTCACTACGCATGACGTCACCACGCGCACGCGGGGCAGTATTCTGATACCTGCTGGCGGCCATCTTGGTGATGGACGCCGGCAGAGAGAGGAGGAGACAGTCACCCAGCGGGATAAGGTATGCCGCCGGGTCACCTCCTCTCTCCTGACACTGTCGGGCGTTCGTCCATGACCGAGCACCTGACTTTTCAGAGGGGGGTGACACCAAAATGACTGAGTGATTTTGGTGTCACCCCTCCAATAGTGTCACCAGGTGCGAGCGGCACCCCCCTTGTGACGCCACTGACTGTAATTCTCAAATCTCACTGGACTCAGCTGAAAACAACTGTCACTTTTTTTTAGTATCCTCATCCTGCTTGTGACTTGTGCCCATTGCATATTATAGATACAGCCAGCGCAGTGCGCTCCAGTGCCAGCTCTCTACTCCCTCTAGCGGACACTCGCCGTCACTGCACCTCCCGGTGCGCACACTGCAGCTCCGCAATGTGCAAAGACTTTGCGCGGCCGGCGGTAACGATCGTAAATCTGACTCCATACTTCTCATTTAAAATCCAGCATCCCTACAGCGGGCAGGCAGAGCAACGCAATTATCCGTGCAATGGTCCCAGCCCGAGCAGGGAATGATGAAAATCCAGGCAACTTCCCATGCATGCAGCAGCTAGGGGAGGAGGAGCAGGAGATGATGCAACGAGAGAAATGAGACTCCCGCTAGTGGCCCGCCCCTTTTCCATGATGGGGGCAGAGTGTAATGTGATTGTGAATGTATTGCACAAGGCTCGGAGGCGGCTCTAGGCACACGGGGGAGGGGAGGAGAGAGCATTGTGTGAACGCCGGGTTGCCGCTTACACAGATGCAGGCAGGATCCCGTGCACGCCGCATCTCTGCCAGGCAGAACTGATCCGGGGCCCCGGGGGGACACACGTGCACTGGATGCCGCTACGGGATCGCTCCTGAGGCTTCTTATCCATCTTCGCCCTCCTTTACATCAGAGATGTTCGCCAACGTGCAACGGCAGAGCCGGTTGGGGGCCCCCCGCCTGGCACCATGCAGAGCCCACCACCATCACCCCAAGAGGCTGGAGAGCGATGAGCCCCCCGCCAAGTGCGCCCGGCTCAGCGAGTCTCCCCCGGACGGCGGGCTGCTGCCTTCCCCGGGCTCCCCGCTGCCGCCGGCTTTGCACAGCGCCGACCCCCAACACACGGGACCCACCTGCATAGGGAACTACCTGCTGCTGCCCAACGTGGACCGGGAGAACGTGGCCAGAGCCCTCCACCTGCACACCGGAGAAGAGCTACAGTGCAAGGTGAGCCGCACCGGACAGAGGCTGACAGGTGTCCATTGTCTGCGGAGGCTTGGCAGCTGGCTGGAGTTTTTGTTGGGGGAACCCTAAGTCAAGGGGACACCTGGAAGATACCCCAAGGAGACTAAAGGGAGACCCCCAGGGTGTAGGGGAGCCACAGGATTGACATGAAGGTTGCTTATAGTCTGTTGGGCTTTTGGAATACTTGACCCCATCCCATTCTTGGGGAGCTCCAGGATTGGTGTGACCCTAGTCTATAGGGTCTTGGGGAGCTCCAGGATTGGTGTGACCCTAGTCTATAGGGTCTTGGGGAGCTCCAGGATTGGTGTGACCCTAGTCTATAGGGTCTTGGGAAGACATGGCCCCAGCCTGTTCTTGGGGAGCTCCAGGATTGCCATGACCCTAGTCTGTAGTTTGCTGGGTTTCTGGAAGACATGACCCCATCCTGTCCAGGATTGCCATGACCCTAGTCTATGGGGTCTTGAAGTCATAACCCCAGTCTGATAATTGCAGGGTCCAGAGGAGCCCCTAGGATTGACATGACCCTAGACTCTAGTCTGCTTGGTCATAGGAAGACATAACCACAGCCTGTTTTAGGGGAGCCTCTGGATTGGCATGACCCTAGTCTATAGTCTGTTGGGACGTTGGAAGACATGACCTCAGCCTGTACTCTGCAGGTTGTATGGAAGCGCCAGCTTTGGCATGAGCCTAGTTTATAGTCTGCTGAGTCTTGGTAAGACAGTCTGTTATCTGCAGGGTCTAGGGGAGCCCCATGGGAGGAAAGACCTTAGTCTGTAGGGTTTTGGGAAGGCATGACCCCAGCTTGTTATCTGCAGTGTCTTGGGGAGCCCCAGGTCAGGTATAACCCTAGCCTATAGTCTGCATGGTTTTCCCTAGACATGACCCTTTGTCTGTTATCTGAAAGGTATTGGGAGACCCAGGGTAAGCATGCTGCCAGCCTTTTGTCTGCTGGTTCTTGGGGAACTCCAACATACGGTAGGCATGATGCCAGCCTTTTGTTTACTTGGTCTTGGGGAGCCCCAGGGTAGAGGGCATCCTTTTGTCTGGTGAGCCTTCTGGAGCTCTCGGTTCGGGATGACCCCAGCCTTTTTTCTGTACAGTCACAGAGCCACAGATAAGAGATGACCATTGCCTGCTGTTGTAAGGTATTGGGGAGCCCTGTGGTACAGATGATGCCCAGCCTGTCTGAGGGTTTGGGGGAACCTTAGGGTGAAGTATCCTGCTGTTTGTAGGTTCTTTAGTAGCCCCAAGCCAGGAGCAATCCTATGTAGTTTGCAGGATTGCAAGGAGCTCCAACTCAGAGATGCACTGTATATGGGAACCCCGGGTCCAGGGATGACATAGGGTTGTCTGCAGTCTTGGTGCTGACTACATGTACTGTCAAGGATTTTTCCGTTTTGGCCACAATTTGTAGTCTTTGTTGCCTCCAGGAACTCTGGTCAGCAGCCTCTCTGTTGTCAGTGTTGCAGAGTGCTTGATGTCTATGTTGCCTTCAATAACCTCAGTCTTTTGTCTGCACTGCCTGACTGTTATGTGTGACATTTCCGTATGCTTTTTTGGGAGACCCCAAGGCAGGGATAGCTCCAGGGATCAATGTCCGTAGTGATACTGGCTTGCTCTCTCTGAGGAAGTCGAGACAAAAATTACCCTAGCCTTGTCTGTACTGCCTCAGATGGGCTCCAAGTCTGGGGTGACATTAGTCTGTCTACAATGGAGACCTCTATGAAAGGAAGAATTCAGTCTGGAGGCTGCACCTCCCAGGGTGACCCTAAAGTTACCTTCCAGTCTTGCCATTCTAGATCACCTATGGATTGGGCATTGTACATTGCTGTCCTTGTGCTGGAGGCACCTAAGCAAGGCTTCCACATCTTTTGTTTGCCATGTTTCTTTGGGAAATAAAGGACATACCCCCCCCCCCTTTTGTCTGCAGTCTCTCGGAAGCAGAGGAGGGGGTGACTGAGACCCCATTCCTGTGTTTTCAAAGCAGAAGGAGAAAGCAGCATTGTCTGTTGTGCTTCAGCGTTATTACTGCTGGGAGCAGGCAAACCCGCTTATTGTTATGTGTCTTTAAAGCCTGTTCCATTGTGTTATGTTACCGTCTGATGCTTCGTGGTCTCAAGGGCCCCTGCTTTGCTTCCTGTTCTGCCCCAGGGGCTCCTAGGTATTATATTGCATGTGGTGCCCCAGGAGACCTAGCTGCTTCCCATATGATCCCCAGAGCTCCGTGTTTGAACACTTCCAGCTAAGTGATTGCTTCCCCAGGGGCATGAGCTCCATACCTCTAGGAATGACTGCAGACTCTTCCTAAATTGGCACCACTCACCCCTTTTCTGTCCTCTACAGCTGAGGAACTACAAGCCCCTTGAAGGCCCTAGCATGCTTTGCAGTGACCCAATTTTCTATGCGATTGCAATGCACTGGAAGGATAGACTTTTACATGACGTTACAGTAGACGGAGCTGTTACCTTATCTGCCCTACAGCTTAGGGAAGACTTGTAGCCTAGATATGGGCCGAAAGCAACCTGACATTCAGATTGGATACTGAACTCGATAAATACAAAGTATAGAGAAGTATATTAACCTAGAGAATGAAGGGTTTTGGGGCTTATTTAATTGTTCATCTTATAATAGGCAATGTTCAATGACCAAGGTCAATCGGATGTTGTATATGGGAAAATTAAAGCAAGTTTTCAATGAGTTAATGTATTTGCAAATCAAGACGGTCCATTGTACTGCTTTCTAGAATAAGGGAAGAAAGTTAGACGATGCGGTTACCCTTGGCAGACAATCATAAAAGCTAAAATCGGGTAGAGTGCTATGGGGCTGTTTGCAATATGTTTTTCACTTAGCCGAGCGTAGAGTCTGATTGAACCCGCTACGCTAGACAGCCGTGAGATGTGAACATATTGCAATGCTATGTCAGCGGGTCGGTTAATAATTGCGTTGACAGTTCACCGGTTTCTGTAATTTAATTTCCACATTCCCTTTTCCTTCTACATTGGAACTGACATGATCGCATTCTTTCCCAAATGTCTCTTTTTGCTGATTTTTAATTGGACTAGACAGGTTACGTCAATGCTGAGCTCTCCTTCGTAACCTTAATACGGCTTTGTGTACTTGCTGCTGCCCTCTGCTGATGCTAGCGAGTGACGGGAGAATTTATTGACGGTCGTTGCAAGAGGCATAAAAAGCCACAGAAATGAGAGCTTACCACTTCAGAATAGGGCGGTGTAAAAATAGGACACGGGTTTTGCTGGGGCTAGTGGAGTGCGGTTGTTTTGCTTTGCACATAATCTCTTAGCATATGGTTTGCATGTCCTAGTTTAGCCTAGTGATGACCTATTTAGCTTCTGGATCTCCATCTGTGGTGGGACTACAAGGCCCCCAACGTGCTGGAAATTGTAGTTCTGCCACAGCTGAAGAGCCACAAGTTGCACATTATTCGAACTTCCTTTAAGGTTGAGCAACAGTTGGGTAGTCATAAGGTTTACCCAGACAACCCAAGTCAGGTGGCCCTTATGCTACATAGTTGGTCAACCAAAGGAGATTGCAGAGTCAGATTGTGACCTAGTTTGTTAGTTCACTTAAGGATTTGACATTTGGATTACATTTTATTTATGCTTTGTTTGCAGGTTTTCTCCTTGAAGGACTACCAGCACAAGATCCAACCTTACATCCACCTCCCCTGGCACCGAAACATCACCGGGATGGCGGAAGTCATCCAAGGGGAGAGCAAGGCCTACGTGTTTTTCGAAAAGGAGTATGGCGACATGCACTCTTATGTGCGCAGCTGCAAGAGGCTGAGCGAGGAGCAGGCCGCCAAACTCTTCAAGCAAATCATCAGCGCGGTGTCCCACTGTCACCAGTCCAATATTGTCCTGGGGGACCTGAAGCTGAGGAAGTTTGTGTTCTCTGACAAAGAAAGGTGAGGAAGCAATCGGAGTTTAGGGTTGAAGTTTATCCACAATGGTGGCCATTTTGCTTCTTTTGTCAGTTTACTGTAAGCAAGTCTAATGGATTGGGAAAGAGATTTTCAGAATGTGAAGGCTGCTTGGGTGTTGGATGAGTATATAGGTGAGGAAGATATTAATAACTCGGGGCAGGAACGGAGAGGACAGCTTGGCTCAGTCATAAAAAATGCCAATGAGGCCTATTCATTCTCTATGAACTGATGGCAACCCTTAGAGATGGGTTAGACGTTTTCGTTGAGTTGGTCCGCAACAAATTGAATAAACACTAAAATGGCTAATAAATTCATAGGCCTATCTCTGCCACTAACAATTACCCCTTTATAATAAGGTAATATGTCCTCCGCACATATTGCAGTATAGACCCTACTGATGTGCAAGGCATTGTCACGAATATTTTCCTACCTTCAATATCAAGTACACAGTCAATGTTTAACCAGGTGGACACCTCCTACACTTCTGACCTCAGACCTGTCGCATACAGTCACATTTGCCCCCCCCCCCCTTCTCCTTTGTCTTGCCTCCAAATATTGATATTTCCATTAGCCCGTGCTTGTTTTGTGTATTTACAGTCACAATGCTCGCAGCAGATAGGACCAGAGCGGACTGGCCCCCTTCCCAGCCTATAAGATGCAAACTGCAGCCAAACAGCTGTGGTTGTTGACGGAAAACTGTCAGAATTAAACCAATACGGAGATATGAAAGTTGTGTACACATGACATTGCACACAGCTTCCTGTGTGGTGAACCATGATGCGCATAGTGGGCCCCCTGTCCCAGCTTATATGACGGAGCAGAGAACTTGACAGATAGAAATTAGACTTGACATTAAGGCAGGGCCGGATAAAATCCCAGGGGCCAGGTAAGCCAATGCTACTTAGAGTTCCAGCTGGTGCCCAACCATTGGGGTTTCCTCTAGTTGTCAAAAGAAAAAACCCTGGGGGCCCCTAGATTGGGCAAGCTGGCTCCTGAATTCACATATTCATTTGTCCACCCCTGGGATAAAGGGTTAGTCTACCAAAAAGCTAGTTGTAGACACTGGAACGTTAAGACACCTGATGGAGATTTGTGAGTCCCTGGCTCTGCACTCCTCTTCTGTGCCCATTATAAGGGGATCCCATTCTTCCATTTGGGTTTCTATTTGTTTTATATTCTGGAGAACATAGCAGGGGTACCTGGAACACACCTAGATGGATGGGATCACCCAAATCTATCATATGGACAGGAATTATGGTTGGGAGATCTCGCCATTGAAGTATGCAAGACATACAAAAAGCCACTCAGCCCACTACTGACCCTTAAAAAAACCCAAGGGTGCCCTGTTGCCAAATTCATATGGCCGGGCAAACATCATCCCTAATGCATCTCCTTCTTTCTAAAACGACCAATAAAAGTAATACAAGAGCTGCAACGACCATTAACTTGTGACCACCATTCAGATTGCACCCATCATTGCTGGTCAACAATGAGGACAACAATATTGGTACAGGTCTCTGCACACCACCCACCACCATTGTTAAAGGGCCACTCCATATAAATGGCATCATTCTTCCCAAAACAGTTTCAGTCATTGTATTAACATAAAAAGCTTTCCAAGGCAAAAGATAATTCGAACGAAAATAACTTTAGCAGGATCAGCCCCCCCCCCCCTTCTCCTTTGTCTTGCCTCCAAATATTGATATTTCCATTAGCCCGTGCTTGTTTTGTGTATTTACAGTCACAATGCTCGCAGCAGATAGGACCAGAGCGGACTGGCCCCCTTCCCAGCCTATAAGATGCAAACTGCAGCCAAACAGCTGTGGTTGTTGACGGAAAACTGTCAGAATTAAACCAATACGGAGATATGAAAGTTGTGTACACATGACATTGCACACAGCTTCCTGTGTGGTGAACCATGATGCGCATAGTGGGCCCCCTGTCCCAGCTTATATGACGGAGCAGAGAACTTGACAGATAGAAATTAGACTTGACATTAAGGCAGGGCCGGATAAAATCCCAGGGGCCAGGTAAGCCAATGCTACTTAGAGTTCCAGCTGGTGCCCAACCATTGGGGTTTCCTCTAGTTGTCAAAAGAAAAAACCCTGGGGGCCCCTAGATTGGGCAAGCTGGCTCCTGAATTCACATATTCATTTGTCCACCCCTGGGATAAAGGGTTAGTCTACCAAAAAGCTAGTTGTAGACACTGGAACGTTAAGACACCTGATGGAGATTTGTGAGTCCCTGGCTCTGCACTCCTCTTCTGTGCCCATTATAAGGGGATCCCATTCTTCCATTTGGGTTTCTATTTGTTTTATATTCTGGAGAACATAGCAGGGGTACCTGGAACACACCTAGATGGATGGGATCACCCAAATCTATCATATGGACAGGAATTATGGTTGGGAGATCTCGCCATTGAAGTATGCAAGACATACAAAAAGCCACTCAGCCCACTACTGACCCTTAAAAAAACCCAAGGGTGCCCTGTTGCCAAATTCATATGGCCGGGCAAACATCATCCCTAATGCATCTCCTTCTTTCTAAAACGACCAATAAAAGTAATACAAGAGCTGCAACGACCATTAACTTGTGACCACCATTCAGATTGCACCCATCATTGCTGGTCAACAATGAGGACAACAATATTGGTACAGGTCTCTGCACACCACCCACCACCATTGTTAAAGGGCCACTCCATATAAATGGCATCATTCTTCCCAAAACAGTTTCAGTCATTGTATTAACATAAAAAGCTTTCCAAGGCAAAAGATAATTCGAACGAAAATAACTTTAGCAGGATCATAATTTCCAGCACAACGGACGTCCTGTCTGTTGATCCCATAGAGGAATGTAAGCAGCTGTCACTTTGCTGTCTGCACTTGCTTACAGCGGCAGCTAGTTTTACAGCAATGAGCTGTATGGGGAAGTTGGAGAAATCTCGGATATGTCCATTTCTGCACAGGTGGGAGGAATTTTAAGCGGATGTTACCAGTACCACTTTCGCACATTACTTTTATAACCCCCTCCGTGCAACATTTAATCTTCCTAGGTGCAAGAATACATTTCTGGATTTGCAATCTCACCGCTTGAGAACTCGAAAGGCATAAGATGTCACTTGAGTTGCTCCCCTGAGATGCACCCACATCTAAAAAGGCAGTTTGTGGTGGTCTGAGCCTGTAAGATGGCTTTGGGCTGAGCATTGATCTTTGCATAGCAGAACTCTCATAAGTCCTTTAATCACTCAGTCCTGACAGATGCCAGCTCAGCATGCCGAGGACAAAGTTGATGCAGTAGCTCATATTGCGTCAAACTGGCCCGCAGCCACTTAACGTATGCGAGACGTTTATAGACACCATAATCAGTGATACATGGGTGAAGGAAGGTATCGCATTCCTGGCCAAAAAAAACCCCTTGCTAGCTCAGAAATACATTCTGATCGCAGTGTTCCATCTGGGATATTTACAAACGTCACATCACTGGAATGTTAACTGGTAGAAGAGGATGAGGAGCCAAGAGCGGTAGAGGAGGGGGGTGGGATGGGCCTGTGGTTGCGGCCACAAGTTCAGAGCTTGGTTTTGGATTCCGTGCCAAATGGATATTTAAATGTCACTTTTTATAGCTATGCAAGGTGCAGTGCCTGGGTGGGCCCTTTAGGGACAGGTACATGCAGCAGGAGGGGACCAGATTAGGGAGAATGGGTGAGCATTGTAAATAATTTAGAGGATGCATCAATTATTCTGAACCTCTTAAGGCTCCGAAGTTCTATACTTCCATCTCTTTCCACGTGCATGTTCCTTTAACTTTTATTTGCATACTGCAAAGAGCACATTTAAATTTTTTGGTAATTTGGGGTTTCAGGCAGAGCTGTGTGATCGTATCCGGCCCGCGTGTCAGGAGTTATTCACCGGGGATGGGGGGGTTAAGCGATATGCGGCAGGCGCAGGTGTCAAGTTTTTACTGTGACACCAGCTGGTTGCTGCCAGACGGTAGAGTGGCTTGAGTCACTTTTTCCGTCCCCTGTATCAAAGCTACTTTGCATCACAAGAGTTCACGTTGAGGACAAAAAAGGGAACGCATTACAACCTTCACGGCCTGATAGTTGAGGAAAAAAAAATAACTTCTCGCGCTTTGTAGGCCTTTCATCGCGTCCTGCTTTCACCATAAATTATATAGTTATTATAAGGTGTTCCATTTAGGCCTGCTGGTTGTTGAAGTAGAGGTGGTTCTCTGAGGAGCGTCGCGTACTGCGGCTTTTTTCCTTCCTGGTATTTTATTATTTTAGAGGCAGAATAGGCAAATAATAATTGGCAAATAATCTTTAGTACAGGGCAGGCTCTTCGAGTATTCCCAAGAGGGGGGAGAAGAAGATGCAGCCAGATGTGGCTGAAAGTTTATCAATGGATGCAGCAGCAGCTCTCTGTGCTATGGCCACATTCAACTGGCCCCGGATGCAAACGGTCTCCTCCCATGGCCCGTCAATGTTGGCAACTGCTTGCACAAGCGTTAACATGCGAACAGCAGCGGTGCTAGCCGTTGATTTGGCCGCCGTGGCACATACTGTGCTTGGGGCCAATGTTTCTCCGCTGGTAGGAATTCTGAAGTTAATCAGGTGTCTGAACCATAAGGAAGTCTTGGTTGTCTGTGCTGCCATCTTGTACACAACTAGAGTCAGCTGAGCATGTCACTGGCTAATGGCAATTAGCTTAAATGTAAAGGTTGCTATTGGATATTCCAAGGAGCTCTGCCAGTGCAAAGTAATAAAAAGGTTACCATTTACCATTTATGATAGATGGCTTTATAGAATGAGGTGGAGTCTATAGACTGTCTGGGGCAATTGCTATTTAATGACAAATTATGTTTTTATGTGAATTATTTTGTTCTTCTCTCGTTGTTAAACCATTGTTTCCCTTTTTTGTTTCGGTCTGCAGGACTCGCCTGAGGTTGGAAAGCTTAGAGGACGCTCGCATTATAAAAGGCGAGGACGACGCTCTGTCAGACAAACACGGGTGCCCGGCTTACGTCAGCCCAGAGATCCTCAACACGGCAGGGACTTATTCCGGGAGGTCGGCCGACGTCTGGAGCCTGGGCGTCATGCTCTTCACCCTCCTGGTTGGACGTTACCCTTTTCATGATTCGGACCCCAGCTCGCTCTTCTCCAAAATCCGCCGCGGACACTTCTGCATCCCTGACCACGTCTCCCCCAAAGCCAGGTGCCTTATCCGAAGCCTACTGAGGCGGGAGCCCCACGAGAGACTGACGGCAGAGGAAATTTTATTACATCCCTGGTTCGAAGCTGCCTCTCACCCCGGCTTAGCAGACCAGGAACCGAGCACCACTGACCAGCTTGTTCCTGATGTCCCTCAGACTTGTGATGACATTGATTCCTTCTTCTGCTAGCTCCTCCCAACCTACGGACTATGGTCTTTATAATGACCAGATCTGGGACTTGCGGTAGGCCTGTAAGCCCCTCACGGCTGTGGTGTGGACAATGTTGTACGTTATACCAACATACCATTCTGAGTTTGCCAACAATTATCCTATTGCAAAAACTTTTGCCTTGGTGGACTAGAATCGTTCTCGGGCCCCTTTAGGCACCTTCTGTAAGGCAGTGCGACGGGCAGTGGTTGCTGCACTTTGCCCAATCGGAAATAATTTATCAAATTAGAGAAAAATGAAATATGATTGGTTGCAAAGGGAGCCCATGAAATCTGAACATCATTTGCCCTGCCTTGTTTGGGTTACCGGTTTTTGTGACCGTTCATGTTCATATTATGGCATTAAATGGGGTTAAGTGAGACTAGGGCAGGTATATTTTAACCCTACAGCACAGAATAGAAGTGCCAAACACTTGAAAAAAAAAATTGACCATTTTTTAAAGTGGAACCAGACCCTCCTGTCCCTTACAGCCAAGGAAGTTGCCATCACGGCCTCTGTGGATTGCGGTTGCCATGGTGCTGCACGTGTAATGACGACATCCATTTGAGGGCCTTGAAAGTACGGCCGGAAAGCTGAAATGAGCGCACTCAACCTTGACAGTTTGCATGCCTTGAAAGTAACCGGTTTTTGGGAGGCCATTGAATTGGTGGGTCTACTTCCACTTTAAATTGATGGGTAATGTTCCTCTTTAAATGGCACCCAAGTGAAGAGTGTAGCATTGTGGGTATTGGTCCTCCATTGCCTAAGAGACAGAAGTATAGGTAGATTATAAGGTGCCACACCACAGTTCGGAAAGAGCAGGTATTCCTTCCCGCAACGATTCCACCACGGTCAGGTCTTGGAACGGGCCTTAGGCCTCAGCAAGCCTTCACTCTAGTGAAAAGCACATTTACCTCATTCATCGTTGTGTATTTCATTATATTTTCGGCCCACAGAGCCTTGAATGCATTTCATTTTTCAGTAGTGAGTTAAACACTTTTTTTTTTTTTAATTCATTAGCGCGGCCTGTTCATTTTTTTTTAACCCGAAATGAATAGGACCGTCGCCTTTTTTATTTGTATCGACCTTATGCAGAACGCTGACAGGCTGAATGCCATGGCAACCAATCAGAAGCTAGTTTTATTTTTTTATTCCCCCCCCCCCTGCTGACAGTGTAGTAAAAGCTGAAATCTGATTGGCTAATGGGTTCAGAGCCATTTAAGCTCTGCCGCATTATCTTATGAAACAAATCTATAATAAGCTGGTGCTTCACATCCCCTCCCGCCGTGACAGTGTGTGAACACACACACACCTACGCATGCCGGGCTTTGTTGGCAGTGAAGCCTTTTTTTCTATTTTCGATGTTGAAAACTGAAGATTTAAGAAGGAAAAAAAATCCCAATGTTGTTTGGCAATTTGTAATGTGAATAACTGTTGGCAAAAGCACCTGTCGGAGAGAGAGAGACAGAAAAGGAAAATCGCGAGAAGACATAGAGGCACGGGAGCCTCCGTTGCACTAACCGGCTCGCGGTTGTTAAACATTTTTTTTTGTATCTGTGATACGCTGTACATAAATAGACTGTAAATACCGACAATAAGCGTTTGCTGAAAACCGATTCGGGGGATTGAAAAAATAACACTATTGTGTAAATATGTGCAAGAAAAATCCAATTCTGTTAAATTTGTACAAGCTGAGATGATGGCTATAGTTTCTTTCAACACTAATCCATATGCAGGCCAAGAGTTTAGACTTCAATGGCTGCATGTTGATTCTGGGTTCGTGATTGTAGCTAGTGAATCCACACGAAAGCCAGGCAATTTGCATTTTAGGTAGATCAGGCTTGGCACACCCTGTATTCCTCTCGGCACAGGTTTATTTTAGTTGATAGATGTAGTAGAGCAGGTGTAGGCAACATCGGCACTTCAGCTGTTTTGGAACTACAAGTCCCATGAGGCATTGCAAGACTGATTGTCACAGTTATGACTCCCAGGGGCATGACGGAAGTTGTAATTTCAGAACAGCTGAAGTGCCAGGTTGCCTACCCCTGTAGTAGAGCCTCTGTGGTACTTTTATAGGTACCCCAAGCCTGTCAAATGAATGGCTCGGCTTGGCCTTAAAGCTGAACTCCGGGATAAGCAAATATTGTCTTCATACAAGAGTCATGTATATTCTTCCCTGACCTTGGTGAGCTTTGTGTATTCCTTCCAGATCTGTGCAGTGATCCTGTGTGAGACTTGGAACTTCCTGTAATAGACCAATTACTGCTGCTCTCTGTCCTTGGGCACGGTGACTGGTCTTGTCTCCGCCCCCTCCTGTAATAAAGACCGGTCACTGCTGCTCTTTCTCCTCGTGCAGGGTGACTGGCCTTGTCTCCGCCTCCTGTAAAAGGTGGAGCCTGCTGGGTCCCTCCCACAGCTCTGCTCTCTGCACATGCTCTGTACAGCACAGTGATGATGTCACTGCTACTTTTACAAGGTAATGATTGGATTTGGAAAGGCATCCGGTGCACACAATGTAGATTTATATCCATTTTGTGGCTGTTGAGGAATATATTTTAATGAGAGTTTTCATGCCCGGAGTTTAGCTTTAATGGTTTATAACAGGTGATGGGATATAACAGGGCTGTGCCCAGTGAGCTGTTGGGCGCAGGACACCCTTGAGGGAAAATGTCCACTAAGTACTTTCTTTTAGCATCCATGTAAAGGTCTTTGTTTCATTTCGGGCCTGGATTTACTACCTTGAGAGGGGCGGATTGGAGGCGGTACTTCCATGTTTTTAAATCTGCCTGGGAAAGGGAAATTACCCTTTGACTGTATCAGAGTCCCCTGGATAGGATTGTGCTGTCTGGCATAGCTGTGTGAATCTCAGGACTGGATGGACAAGTACAAATCCTTTGGCAGATAAAACGGCCCCCTTTGTATGTCATCAGTGCATGTAGCTGCTCGCCTTCAGATTAATTTTATTGTGCACCTGTGCCCTTGCCAGCATAGTCCAGGCAGCCTGAATACTTGTCCACCCCATAAAGATGGCTTCTTTCCTCTTCTGGGGGGACAACAGGTGCACTTTACCATATGCACGGGAGCTGTGGCTTATAAATACTTTCCTAAGCAAACACAGCTGTTCATATAAAGGACGTTCCGGTGCAGGATATGGCCCATTTGCAGCTTCAGACCCCTCCGTAAGCATGGCCGCCACCTGTTCAGCGCAGACGCCTGTTATAGGATGCATACCTAGCTGTCACGGCTCCGGCATTATTGTGCTGCGGGCCTTTGGTGCAGCCATGTGACCCCGTGATGTCCGAGTTTATTTATTAAATCTATAAAAGGAAGGAGGCGCTGACGCCGGGCACGGATTGTCCTCGCGTCCTTATTTGGTTGCAAGGTGCGATCGGCGATGGGGCAGGTGTCGGTTACATGTCCCGAGTGCCGAGGAATCCGAGCTGAGTAATGAACTAAGAGCGGCCACCGGTCACCCTCCTGGCTTCAGTCATAGCTGGATGATGATGCAGGCCCGTCATCCCGGAGGAATTACTGTAAATAGAAGAGGCCTGACCTTACTACTGTAACCACCGCACGCTACCCAGGGGAAGGAAAAGGGGAGATCACCTGCACAGTGCGCTGGCCATAGCAACTCGTTCATTCCGGCCTTGCACAGTTGTAGCGGCTCCTCTCCTGGACCGTAATGGCTTCCTCTGATTTCACTGCACACTGTGAGCTTCTCCCATTGGAAGCGTCTAATGTGAGAAGCTCCCACCTTCCATGATCTGCCTGCATTGCACAGAGACACAGTGATGATGGGGTCACAATATGTCATGTTTGCATCCTTGTGGGTGGGCTCTAACTAATGCGCACATACGTACAGCAGACTTGGATAGCATGGCACACTTGCCTACCAATGCATTAACCAGCAGCGATGACCAGTCCTGGAGCTTGTCGCCATTAGGTCTCGTGCACACCTAGGCGTATTGCATATGCGTGTCTGTTGCACGTTTTTTTTACCGCGATTCGCGGTAAAGTTGCGCGACCGTCACGCGTTTCCGAAGGCTACTTGGCTGTATCACAATGGAAACGCGCAAAAAAAGGGCCCAAAGTAGTACATGTACCTTTTCAAAGCCACTGGGTGTCCCCATAATGAGGCGGAAAGTGGAAAATCACCAGCACCCAGGAACTGTCATTTTAGATCTTAATGATCGTTTATTGATGTCACATGTATCAAAAAAGCCAACATTTCGGGGCCGCACAGGATCCCTTCATCAGGGCGACATAGTGACAATGTGGCGGGCATCTCATTGGGGGGGCAGGGGCAAATAACAAACGTAACTCCAAATTACTAAAACCTCATGCAATCTGCAACACGTTAATGTAATTTAGTTCTTTATAAATCTGCAGCTCTCATTTAAATAATCCCCGGTGATCCTGCCGTGACCGTCTTGATTCAGGTGTTCTATCAAAGTTCGTGACTAGGTTGGAATGCGTGACCGGTCACGTGGTCACACATTTAAACGTAATCCCGCCCAGTTTTGCGGCGGTGGAATGTGTGACCGCCAATAGGTCAAGAATTCCAACGCTTTGTCAGCTGTTCCAGGGCAGATCGGCATCGCAGATCACATGTGGAGGAGAACCTATCTGCCCTGGAACAGCTGATCAGTCCTGAAGTGTCACTTCTATCAGACTTTGTGGAATGTGAGATTGCAGTCACAAAGTCACATTTCAGGACCGATCAGCTGTTCTAGGGCAGATCGGTACTCCTGCACATACGATCTGCGATGCGTAAACTTTGATAGAACACAGGCACTTCCTGTTATAGTATGACAACCCTCTGTGCCTGTTTTCAGCAAAGATGTGCAATGGTCCCTGGAGAACATGTAGACAGGAAGTGGCTGCAAAGAGGAAGCACTTTTAAGCAGAGAAGCAGAATTGTGCATTTTTGGCTCCATAGACTTTTAAATGGAGACAATTCTGCTTCTGCAAGTTGCATGAGCATGAAAAACGTGCTTCTAAAAACATCTATTTTGAAACCCTGGAGTTTGGTCAAATATATATATATGTTTTGTCTCATTTAGCGTTAAACTCCTTCTTGTTCCCTTGTTTTTTTTGCTTCTAAAAACACCTCTAAGTCGCATAAAAAAAAGATTTAGGGCTCATTCACATGAGCGTGCATGCCCACGTGAATGAGCTC